ATACTTCCTCATTTCTGACCCTGTCCGTTTATGATATTCTAAGCATTCGACGCAGGCACCACATTTCAAACACTTCAAGTTTGTTAATGGAACTGGCCTTTAACGTCCATGCTTCCATTCCGTACAGGAGAACAGGCCACACGTAACACTTAAGCATCTTGTAACGGAGGTTAAAGTCCAATTTGCGATTAATCAGAAACTTACGAAGCCTCAAAAGCCTCATTTCTGGCTTGTTCAACTCTGCTTTTTATTTCATTCTCGGGTCCCAACCTCGTTCAGCAAACAACCCAAGTATTTGAATTGCCTGACTTGTTCGATTTCTTCTCCAGAGACATATATCTTTGCGTTGGGGTAATCATTTCAACTTATAATCATTGTTTTTGTCTTCTTGATATTTATTTTCAAACCCCGAGCTTCACTTGCAACAGTTAAATCATTTAAAAGGCATTGAAGATCTTTGATGTTATCTGCCACTATGGCTGTATCATCCGCATACCTAATGTTATTAATAAATATGCCGTTAACTTTAATACCCTTATGTACGTTAACCTACCAAGTGCAGGTTATTGCCTACGGTATATTAGTAGGATTGTTTTTAAGATATTCCAGTAGTCATCAGGAATTTCGTTGACCGCTGTGCTTAGGAGCTTAGCAGGTGAGAATGGGACTTTGGTTTTTGGAAGTCTGTTGAGTACTTGTCCTCGACGGCGGCCTGTATTTCTGGGAACCTCTTTTGATCTGTTCTTCGAGTAATTTATGATGGAGAGAACGTATTTCTTGCTTAGGTTGAGTATCCTTTCATGGATAGATCACTAATCTATAGTCACGGTTTTTACCCATGACTCTCCTCATAATTTTTCTTTCGGTGGTCATGGCTAGATTAAGTTGTCTTTTATTTAGCAGAATGTAGATTTTGGCTCTGTATTCGACAATTGGTATTATAAATATTTTGTATGTATGCAGGAGAGTAACATGATTGGCGTTCCCAAATTTGCCGCTTAGTGCTATTAGGAGTCTGACTCTATTTCTTACCCTATTTGCGGTATTTCGTACGTCAGCGTTCCAATTAAGTGTCTTTAACAATTCGACACCCAAGTAGGACATTAACGATCTAAAATCGAAACTTTCTCCGTTGAGCAGTATGCAGTTTTCCTTTTCTAGTACTGGACGTGAACATTTGGTATTTTTGGTATTATTTTAAAGAATGTGAGGTTTTATTTCACCTTCATGTCCAAATTTACCAAGTTATTCGCTACTATAGTATAGTTGATTACTCTGAACGAGGAGTTTATAAAAAAAAACTGTGGTAGATAAGGGGAGATGCTAGTAGATTCCATTAGTATCTATGTTTTCTTGTTTTTGTTTTAAATGTGTCTCTTGACATAATTCACAGAAATATTTACCCACAAGTAAGTAGAGAACGATCTCTTCTTGGAGCCCTTTTAGTACGTTGTCCATTATGCGTTGGAACGTGGAAGGGGGATTCTACATTAAATGCTGTTTTGGGAATATCTTATCAAGTATCTCAATTTGATGGTATCCGCTCGATGAGTCGAGGGTGGTAAAATACTGACATCGTCCCAATTTGTCGAGGATATCGGATATATGAGGAATCTTATATTGGTCTTCTATTGTTTTCTCGTTGACCTTCTTATAATTTACCGCTATTCTTTACTTTATGTTACCGAATGAATCTGGTTTTTTGACACGATGCATATGGGTGACGATCACGGTGATTAGCTTGGTCTAATAATCCGAATCTAACATTGAAGATTTTTCTTTTGTTTCATTTGTTTCTTTACTTCTTCCTTATGTACATATGGGTACCTGTATGATTTCGTATATACTGACTCTTCATCTTTGGTTTTGATATGGTGTTTAAATTCGTTGGTAAAGCTTAGAGGAGTGTCTTGCTGGTAAAATATATCAGAGAATTTTCGGCACAGGCGGCGAAATTGTTCATCTACTTCTTGGTTAAGACGTTAGGTTTTAATCAAGTCGTCAATGTCTTGCCTGTATTCTGGTCCGGAGGTTGTTTCCATAGAATATGTGCTCCGCAAGTGCTTCTGTAAGGGAAATATGAATAGGTTTCGACGTGAAGTTTACAATTTCGGTCCAAGCGAGGTGGTTTTCTGGGAAAATTTTGTCTGGGAATAATGATAGTTCCATTTTCTCCTTTCACTGGAACTTTATCTTAGTACATGAATTTGGTTCCAAGTGAATGAAATAAAATTGTGTTTTTTTTGTTTCATAATATTTAATACGGATTGAATGGACTTCTATTACGTTTCGGCTAAATTTAGTGAAAAATAATTTTCAATAAATATATATCTTCTTAATTCTAAGTAATAAAATTCGCTTACAAGATAAATATGATGCTGATGTACATTCCTTCGATCTTTAAGACTTCTAAATTCTAATTTCCTTGGGTAAACTCTCTGCAGACGATTTCCCTAGGGCTGGTTCTTGGAATAGAGGACAAACACTTAAAAGTGAAGAGGCTCTTTATAGACTCTTACACTATTTTACTGACTGCGCCAATTATAAATGTTCTTTTGGAAAATATTTTTTTAAAGAGCACAAACACACAAAATATCTTTTATATACACTAGCAGGTGATGCAATGATTTCGGTTACAATTCAAAATATATTATTCAGACTTCAGACAAATAATATCAGATTAATATTAGACTAATATCAGACTAATGTCAGACTGAAAAAAGGTGGTTTACCAAAAAAACTTCTTATTGAATTCGCGTGATCGAATATACTGGATACTAGCGGTCATTGTACTATAACTTGCACAGATATTTTCAAGGTCATAGCCGTTTAGAAAATCCACAAGTTATACATACATAATTAGCCAGTTTAAAGTGTATAAAGAGGAAACGTTTGTCGTTAAAAGACAAAATAAATATGATCGCAGAAAGTGAAAAGTTGGTTTTGCAAAGCCAGAAATCAAGCAATTATTCCATTATCTGGGTCGATACTTAAAGAAAAAGAATTCGAGACAGGAAACTGTTTGAAGATGAAAAAGTTTTCAGCATCAAATGGATGGTTAGAAAGTTTCTGAAAGCGTCATAATATTTATAAGGTTTAATCAATTTGTGGTGAGTCTAAAGAGGTTAGACGACATAGAGGACTGAAAAACCAGGTTACCATTGAAATTAAGGAATAACTCTCCACGAGATGTATACAATTCTGACGAAACAGGGCTTTATTATCACGCCATGCCTAATAAGACATTAACAAATAAAAAATAAAAAATGTACACGGAAGAAGACGGCAAAACAACGTTTGACTATTTATGAAAGGTTGAAAGAAGATCCATTAGTAATTGGAAAAAGTAATAGTATTCGCTATTTCACGGGTAGTCATATTGACAAATTACCCTTAGAATGAGTTTTTAACAGAGTTTCAAATAACTTTTATGTCTTTGTGAACATCAAAACCTGACATTAGCGACCACCTTTATATAACGGCTAATAGTTCGTTCATTTTTAGTGAACGTTATTGACAGGTTTTATTGTAGAAAGAAAGTAATAAGTTGATCAAATTTATCTGAGACTACTGAGAAATTATCAGAGATTCATAGCAGCTTTTAAAGCCCATCCAAACATGTTAGTCGCAAAAGGTTACGTATTCTAAAAAATGTTTAAAGGATGTTTATAAAGGTTATATATATATATATATATATATATATATATATATATATATATATATATATATTCAGGGACTCTACAGTATTCACTGCCTTTCTCACCCAACTGTTTCCATCTCTCTCTGTTATTCCATTCTCTATCATTTAGGCCTCTCTTGCTCATGGCGTCTTCTATTTATTCCTCCAGGACCTTCAGGGTCGTCCTCTTTTCCTTCTGCCTTTGGGGCTCCATTAGGTTATTCTCTTTATCCACCTACTATCCCTAGTTCTTCTTACATGTCCATACCACTTTAGTCTTTTTTGTTCTATATATGTTAGTATGTCTCTTTCTATTGATGTTCTTTGCTTTATTTCGTCATTACTTCTTCTATCCATACAGCACCTTCGCAGGCATTACATCTCTGTTGATACTATTATATTGCTGTTTTTTTTTATTTATAATCCAATTTTCAGCCCCATACGTCATAATACTTCGCCTTAATGTTTTATAATTCTGTGTTTGTGTCTTCATATTTAGGTGTCTATCCCACCATACTGAGTTAAGTGATCGGATTGCTGTTCTTGTTTGTCCTAATCTTTGTCTAATTTCTTCCTGTGTTGTTGCCTTTTTCGTGATTATAAACCCCAAGTATTTGAATTTATCTTTTCCTTTGATTGTTAAGTGTCATCAATATGTAGTTCTTCTATGTCTTGATCACTTGTAGATAGGTACTCTGTTTTCGCGAGGATAATATCTAGGCCAGCCTTAGTATACTCTTCTTGTAGTTTCTTCTAAAGAGGCAATATATGTAATGAGAATGCATCCAGATAATGTACCAACAACAATAGTGAAAATGGAGAAGGAGAGAAACAGAAAAAGTGAAAGACTCGAGAAAACTTGTAAATAGTAAGTAGGAGACATGGGTTTAAAAAAAACCAAAGGACAATGGCATATAAGAAAAGTTGCAATAGATAGAACACTCTGAAATGAAATCTGTAGAAAATTAGATTAGCTATATAGACCCTTAAAAGGAAATAAAATATAGTAAAGAAGAAAAAAAGAGTTAATTTTACTAAATTTAACTAAAACCACTGAAAAGTTATTAAAGATTTATGAGAGCTTTTAAAATCCACCCAAACAGGTTGGTTGCAAAAGGTTAATAACCACATTTTTATCCCTAATTCTTTTTCTGGACGTTTTCAATATTTTTTCCTTTTTAATAAATTTGTTAATAATATTTTCTGTAAATTAACTAATCGGTATTTTAATATTCTTTTTATTATTAGATCTTGTATGTAGTAAATCAAAATTCCAATAATTGATTTATTTAAGATAAAATCTAATACAGTTGGTACTTACTTAACACAATATTTGAAAAGTCCAAAATCCATCCATCTCCTTGGCTCACCATAAAAATATAAACAATAAAACTAGTCTTTAAACGGTATCACGGTGCCTACCCCATTCTTCTAAGTGAATACTTGTCGTCCGAAAAGCATCCATAACTAATTAAATAGTTAAAAAAAGGACCCGAAAAGTACTTTTTCCCGCAATATGCGCGAAGCGTTGAATGGAAATAAACAAATTTTTATTTCGAGATCGACGTTTCAGGTCGCAGTCGGTCCCCTTTCAACAAATAATTACTACGAGAGCAACACTTTACATAAATAGACGAAATATTTGGAACGATCCGACTGCATGGTTGACGTAAGTCATACACACAGTGGTAAAAATCGATGTTGGCCCACGGTGATCAGGCAAGCGCCGGTCTGTGACGTCAAAAGACGCTGGGACAGCGGCGGAGATGAGCGGTTTACTACGCGATCCAGATATCCAGGATACGTCAGCCCACGTCGTGAACAGTATTTACGTATGAAAATCAGTCTACCATATGGTACATTGGTCAAACCGCATGCAGTTTCTATTTCCGCACAGTCCTTTGATAGTGTTGAATTTTGTGCTAAAAAAAGAGATGGAATTAGATGACGTTGCCATCTACCAGATACAGAAAACAAAAATACACGTCTGCATACAGACAATAAATAAGATGTTAAGGGTGTTAAAAGACGACTATCTATGTTGATTATTTATTCTAATTTAATGTAGCAGATTTGACGATAAACACGTCAGCAGAATATAGAAAGAATATTACGAAAAAAATGCTATTTTCTATGGAGGAAACTGCGATGAAGAGATAAGACCAATAATACACGATTACGACAAAACGAATATACAGAGGAAGAGAATTACACAAAGAAATAAAGAAGCTAATACAATAAATATGGCCACAAAACGATATGATGATTGAATAATACCACCAGGTGTTATATTGCCTATCTATAAAAAAGGAGATTAAGAGGACTGCTCAAATTATAGAACAATAACCCTATTAAATAAGACATACAAAATTCTAGCAAACATACTAAACATTGGACTTAAATCATGCCCTGAACGAATATTAAGATAATATCAGAATGAGTTGAGACCGGGAAGATCGACAATTAATTTCATACGTACAGTGGAGCCAATAATTCAAAAATCGAGAGAATTCAACAGAGAAATGCAGGTAATATTCATAAATTTTAAGAATGCTTTTTATACGAATGATTAATCGGACGAAAGTGGTAGAAAAGCTAGAGCATCTTGGAATCCCAGAAAAATTGAGACATATGCTTACAATGAGTCTAGAGCAGCGTTTCCTAAAGTTTTTGGTCAAGGAGCACCATTAGAAATTCTGTAGGAAGCACTTAACATATTGCACCTAAAACCTAAATAGGTGCCACTGAGAACGAGAGATATTAGTTATAAGGGATATTAACCATTACATTTTTATTCACTTAATTCAATTTTTGTTTCAATTACTGACATAAGAAATTTAATTACATATAACGAAAAACACAAAAGTGACACACAGATCCTATTTCTAAAATCTTAAAAAACGTAATGTCTTCATTTTAATGTAAACAATATGGCTGCCTTGATTTTCACAGGTTAGTACTATCCGGTTGAATTTGGTATAACTGCAATCGAATGTCAGGTTCGCATTCAATCGAGATTTCTATTTGGTTTTAGTGGCCACATAGGCAGAGAATGCTGCTTGAACTAAGTATGTTTTTGCAAACGGGAGAAGAATAATTTTCACTTTATCTGACAAAATTTTAAATTCGTCTTTGAGTTGACACCAAAAATCTACTAGCGATTTACTTTCAAAATGTTTTTTTATCGCAGAATACAATGTCAAATCTATCGGGCATTCATACTGCTGAGATGTTAAGGAAGCTGGTTTTTTTAACATTTCAAGATATGGATCAGCAACCCAGAAGTTCTTTAATTTTCTCGTGGAATTCCTCAGGAAAATTATTATGGAAGTTTTCAAGTAAATTTAGCAGACGAGTGTGGAACTCATTAAAGACACGTTATTTTTTACCGATTCTGACCAAAAAAATAATTTATTCCTATACGCTTGTATTTTATCATTGACTTTAAAGACACTTATTGTCTTTCCCTGAAGTAAGAGACTAACTTCATTGACCTTGTTAAAATATCTGCTAAATATCCCAATTTAATTAACTAATGGTTGTTACACAACCTTTCACCTAAGGCAAAATTGGTTCCAATTAAGAAGGTTCTTACTTCAGTTCTCATTTCAAAGAGCCTAGCTAAACATTGGTCGCGAGAAAGCCACCTTACTTCCATATCAAGAAGTAAAGACGAATGTTTACTGCCCATGTCATCGCACATTACTCTAAACAGCCTTGCATTTAATAGTCGTGATTTTATAAACTACTTTTAAGGAAGGCGGCATTTTTTTCACAGCAAGGCTATGAGAGTGAAGGATACAGTGGTTACTGCTGGATTTCGTTTCTAGAATATGATAGATTAATATCAAATAAAAATAAGTTTTTAGTCACGTATTTCTGATTTTTAATACTATTGCACACTTTAATTATCATTATCTCGTAATTTTAATTGGACCTGATATCTCACTGTTATTTTCAGCCATCGATATAGCGAAGCTTCGTTTTCTACTATTTAACGCCATTATCGCCATATAGCGGGGCACAGTTTGGGAAACACTGGTCTGCAGAATACCGCAACAAAGATAAGTTTCAACGGAACAACTTCCAAGCGTGGAACAAGGTGACTCCATCTTCCCGACACTGTCTAACCTGATATAATAAGCAAGAAATATAAATTTGATAAAAATATATTTTTTTAATACATATAAATTTTTAAAATTCACTTAACAACGTAAACAATATGATACTAAGTGTCAGGTGAACGCCCAAACTGAGTGATATATCTGTTTAACCTGCAGCTTCGATTATCACTGTTTTGTTCTACTGGTCAGCGGTATCACGATGTATTAGATACTTTTCTATGACTATTTGACTGGATGTAAATTATTAATAAATTATTTATTTATTTAGCGTATGGCTACATCACAGGTTCATATAAATATAAATATATAAATATAAATTATATAAATTACAAACAACAGTAAATATAATATTATTCTACAAACAAACAACTAGATTATAAATATAGTCGATTGACTCTTTTGTAGCAGCCAGGAAATCTGAAGGGTTGCCATTATAGGATCTAATCGGGTATTCCTCTACCATGTGTTTTACTTTTGCCTTTCGGCGCCGCAGTCGCAATTTGGTGATTGTATTTTTCCCCATCTAAAAAATGAGTCGGAACATCTGCCACAGTTCGTCCTTATTCTATTGAGTGTATTCCAAATTCGTCTCGGTTGGTTGAAGCTCTCAGGTTTGCTTGTAATACATGGCATGTTCCAGTTAGCTGGTGCAGCGTTATTCTCCCATTGTTCTCTCCACCGTTCAGTTACATTAAAGTTTTGATCTACTAGCCTTTTTGCTGTTTTTAGAGGCGGGTGTCTTGAACGGAGCCTATTTATGTCTCTGGCGGAAGTTCCGACATGGGAGCGGAGCTCAGGATCAGTATTGATTTTTGTAAATTCTCTGACAAGGACATGTTCCCGGCGGATGGATGGTGGAGCTATATGACTCAAAGCTGGTAACCAGTAAGTGGGCGTGGCCTTGATTGTGCCCGATATAGTTCGCATGGCTTGGTTGAGTTGGACATCAACACGGTGAGTATGTGGACTGTTTATCCATACTGGTGCACAGTAATCCGCTACGGGGTATACCAGTCCTAATGCTGTCGATCTATGTGTGGGTGCTGAGGAGCCCCATGTAGTGCCGCAGATCTTTTGCAGGATGTTGTTACGAGTTCGGAGTTTTGCAGCAGTCTTAGTAAGATGCTCTTTAAAGTTCAGCGTTCTGTCAAGTGTAACACCTAAGTATTTTGGGTGTTTATTATATTTAAGGAGTCTATCCCCAAAATTGATTTGAGGTTGATAGTTGGCCGTCTTGTTGTATAAATAGAAAAAGGACACTTCTGTCTTAGTTGGATTGGGTTGCAATCTCCATTTGCGGAAATAATTCCCTAGGGCATTTAAATCGTTTGTTAGAATGCGTTCAGTGACCTCGAATTCTTTTTGACTTGCGGCAAGCGTCCAGTCGTCTGCGTATCCAAACTTTTTTGATGTGGTTTCTGGCATGTCTGCTATGTAGAGGCTGAAAAGTATGATAGCCAGCACGGATCCTTGTGGAAGTCCATTATTCAGTTTTCTTTGGGTACTAGTCTTGTCTCCCAATATAACTTTAAAGCATCTGTTGGATAGCATGGCGTTAATAACCTCAGTGGTCTTTCTGCATGGGATTATTCGCATTAATTTATATATTGCCCCTTGTCGCCACACATTGTCATAAGCAGCAGATAGATCGATGAAGACAGCGGTTGTTTTTGATTGCTTTTGAAAGTTTGATTTCACATAATTGGTCAGGGCGAGTACCTGGTCTGTGCAGCTGCGGTTTGGCCGAAATCCTGCCTGTTCCACTGGTAAGTGTTGGAATATGGTTTTGCTGATTCTATTATACAACAGTCTTTCGAACAATTTGTACACCATACTTAAGAGTGCGGTGGGGCGGTAGTTTTTCGGTGAATTATTACTTTTCCCTGGTTTTAAAATGGCGACGATTTTTGCATTTTTGAGTTGGTGGGGGACGTTTCCCGTTTGAAGGATGTCAGAAAAGAATTCTGCGAGCCATTGCCTAGTGAATCTGCCGCTATGTTTGAGGAACTCAGCGTGAATGGCGTCGAAACCCGGCGCTTTTACTGTTTTCATTTCATTTAGGGCTTGCGATATTTCTTCATGCGTAAATGGGTTGGAATATTCTGTTGACTGTGCAAGACTAGATTTTATGGTTTTGAGGTCTTTTAACTTAAAAAGTTGATAAGTATCTTCAATCACAACCTGGTGACAGTGTTGTCGCTAAAACTCAATTATAATTTCCCAGAATTCAGTGGTTACAATTTAGAAACTTTAGTATAGACAGAGAAGCGGGAAATGGATAGATTACGTTAGAACGATGGATAATGAAAGGCTTGCAAAATTGCAAGTTCTGAAAAACCTCATATATCGAAACCACCGAAGAGATCTTCAAACTGATGGTACGAGAGCTGATGGATATGCTGGAGAGACCTAAGATTTAGTTGCAAGAATGAATAATACTTTGTTTTAAATTAAGACGAAGAAGAGAAAACAAACTTGAATGAAGAGATTCATCGACAAAAATGGAATTTTTGCATGGAATTTTAGATGTTTTTCTATTTATTTTTTAAATAAACAAAAC